ATTCATTGAAAATGTTCTGTTGTTATTTAAACAGGCCTAACACGGCAATTACTCAGGGGATTAAAAAATCCACTTCATACATCCTCAAGGTAACTTGTCTCATCATCGTCGAGGGGGCAGTTCACTGTCATTTCTATGCAAGTAGATTGCGTGAAAAATCGTCGCTTATGGTGCGAGAGAGGGGCGGAGTGAGACCATGCAATGCGTTAAGAGAGAGGGTTGTCATCTGATGGAATACAGGCAGAACAACTCCCAATGCAGTGCATGCAGTTTGTTTGCCAGATACCGGTGGTGAAGCGAGCATTTCGGCTGTGATGCAAAGGAGTCTATCAAGCACTCTTAATGCCGGTGCATCCATTGGCTTTACTCTACCGGAGGATAATGACGATGCCAGTTGCAGTGTCAATCCAATCAAATCCTTAGGCTAATGCCTCTCGACACACGTATCCGTTTTCAAAACAAAAGCGTCTCCGCGATTCAATCATTAATTCACATCCACTGGTGTAAAATTGCGTGACAATAAAGACGACGCAATTGTGGCAAGGACCCACTGTCACCGTAGCCCTTGACTTGTAATAAAGCGGCTTCCACATTATTATCCACTTAACAACCGAATCATTTTTATGAATGAATAAAATAATAGGCAAACGGATGAGTGTCCACCTTCCTTACCACAAATGAACAGCGTCTCTTGTGCCATTGCTTCCATTGCCATCATTGTAAGCACTCCTTTCATCCTTTTAAGTTAGCGGTGGTGGCGGAGTGGGATTCTCTCACACCCCCGTAAATTGCACCTGTTTTCCCTATTTCCACAATTCTACCCTATTTCATCTTCATCCATCATTGCTTTTTCCTAATATGTTCTTTTCTTTCCTTTGAGTCAAAATTATTCCTATAAATTAGACGAGTTTTCTGTCTCCTTTGTTGCTGAATTTCCCCTTATTTTCATCTCCAGAAATATAACTCAACAGTAAATCCTCTGAATCAAACAGTTGATTTTACTCTGTATCTGGATGGATTCATGTAGAAGCTTGCTTCGTCAGCATTTGTGTCTGGGGTGGGAGGAGGGGATGACGGCAACATATGGATTTCACTTGCCTCACTGCCTGCTATTTAAAAAAACAGCATTAAAGTTGAAGGTAGGTACCCTATATAGCTAGCCATATTTTGATGTACACTTGAGCATATCCAATGTCTCGCTAACGTCGACGTAGCATGCAATGATAAGTTGTTTGGAAGAAAGATGAATCTGCAATTGTTCCAGCTGATGCTCCTCAGTCTCCGCGGTTCGTACGTTATTTCAGCAAAATGCCTTCTGAATAGTCTGGTCCCACATCCCTTCCACCTTTGATCCGTTTAAATTTCACTACTTCTGCTTACAGGTGCGTCACCTGTAAACTAAATTTGCTGCTACTTTTAAGGGTGAAATATGGTGACTTGGAAATGGATTCACAATGACGCCCTTAGCATCTGATGAAAAGACAGGTTTTAGCTCATAAGAGTTAGCCAACAATAGCATATTTTGCTTAAAGTAAAAAAAATAACATTTTTGAGTTCATTATCGAAGATGCAATAGAAGGCATCATTAAGTGGGATTAGCGTGAGGTACGCACAGGATTAAACAAAAACATGGTTAGCGATCACATTGACGATTTAGCTGATAATGTGATGTGATTGATCAGGTGAGTCAATTCTGCAAGGCAGACCAAATGAAAAAGTGATTTGAGATTTTTCTTTGTCATTCTGCAGTCCTACTTTTTTCCGCTGCTACTTTTGGAGTCCTTGTATTTCACCCCATTCTTCACCTCGATCAAGAAAACTGATGCGCTAACACGATGCACGGCCTTGGTGGCAATCCATGTGGGTACAAGTTGGTACAAATAGACAAACCGCAGAGGCAAGCAAAATATTGGGAGTAGTTACCACTTTCTGAACTAAAAAGGCAAATTCTCTTTGTATAGGGCGATCGAAATGGGTTGGCATAACCACCAGTAGCAGCCTCTGTGCGAGTTAAGTGCCAACTAAGTGGCGGTGGTGCATGAGGATGGGACCTTCAGTGATCATTGACGCAACAACTGCCTTCCAGGCTTTTCCCAGTATCAATGCGCCCTAGTTTCGCAGGACTGCTTTGGAATAATTCAAGTGTTAGGTAATCAAGGACGATAAAAGAGGAAAAAAGGCTTCTGAAGCATATCCAACAATGCACTATACCTAAAATGTGATTTGATAAGCTCTGATCTTATATAAACGCAAAGGCGAGCACACTGCCACATTCGAAAAATTACATTTCTTTCTGAAAAAGCAATACCATAAAACAATGTTCACTCAAGCGAGATTAGAAACTTGAATTAAC